ACCAGAAAGGTCAACCCATTTTACAATACTGTAGATAATTTATAAAGTCTCAACATGACAAATGCCAAAAAATCTTATCAAAAAGTTAAATTGCAGTTGGAGAGAATTCTTTTCCAGTGTGAATGATTTATAACTTCATTTTTCAGTAAACCAAAATATCTACACTAAGACGGAATCTAATAAATGTAGATTTATCCTATGCTGTTGCTTCCTGCCTGGAGCACAAAAGGATTTCCAAAGTCTAAACATATTTATTGGTAAACAATAGCATTGTAAAAAAAAAAAACAAACTTGAAAATCAGGAGCTGTTAATCTAGAAAAAAAGAAAACCATGCTTACAGCCAGGCCTCTTTGCACAGCAAAATTAAGATTTAAGCATATTCAGCCACAGTATTCAAAACAATTGAATGATATAGACCAAGCTAACTGCCCCAGAAACAGATGACTGACTGATGCAAAACAATGCTCATAAACATAGAAATTTGTTTCGTCATTTCAATTGACCACGACTCACTTGCTGATAATCCTAAAAGTAGTACTTGGCTGTGATGGAAACAGCACCTGACTGAGATTCAATGTACAACTTAAGTTTTCCTCTCAGCTTTGTAAGTATTATCCACATTTTACAATGTTTTGTACAAATGGGAATAATGTTTTGTACAAATGGGTTGTGGTTCAGACCAAACAGCATATCCCAAAAAGTACTCCATATTAGGGTTTGCACACAGGAGGTACTCAGTAAACTGAGCCATTATTCAGTGGCCAGCAAAACTCCCAACTTTCCTCCCATGTTAGAGGGCCTTGAATAAATCAATTGGCTTATTCTTTCACATTTTCTTTATTGGTATTATGGAAAGATGTTCTACCTTACAAAGTTATGAGGATTAAAGGATACATAAAATGCTCAGGATCATTCATTCAAGCATTTATTTGAATGAATAATCAAATTTGGCCCACACTGTATATCAGATACTGTTTCAGGCATTGTCAGGCTACTGGGTTCCTTACCTTCACATAGCTTGCAATCTGGAGAGGAAATCTGGTGACTTAACCCACTGATTACCAGGAAATCTAGTGAGTTAACCCAGTGATTATCATATCTGTAATTTTTGTTACTACAAGGAAATTGTAGTTCTCCATGCCTACTAGGTAGTCAATAAAAAATTGTTGAATATCAAATATCAAATTTGTTGTATTTTAATAATAAAAATTATCATCCTTAGGCTTTGAGTTAGAGAAACACAGCTTCCTTTAATGTAATAACCAGACACTTAAAATCAACACTCATGACATATTTTGTCTTTTATTGCACAAAGATAACAATAATTCAAAGGTATAAAAGGACTCACTGGGCTCAGAGTGTCTGATCAGAAGATGGTTACTGTGTCTTTGATAATTAGCTGAGCTGCTTTCCATAGAGACTCTCATTGTGGCACTGGGGCTCTTTCTATTCGTCTTACCTAGCTCTCCATCTGTACATGATAAAGGATTCCTGAGATCGCAAAACTATCACTCTTTAATTGGAATGATACAAAATTTTCTCTAACTAGTTCAGGGCTTCCAGTCATCCAGGTCCACTGACTGCCCCACCCTATCATCCTTGCCTGCCTCTAAGCCTTTATTTGTTTTACTCCCTTGGGTTAAATGGTCCCTTAATCTGTTCCTTCTAGTTGACTTCCTACCTAATCTTCAAAGCCTAATGTAAAATCACCCCTTTCAAAGGGGTGTATCTTCTCTGCTCAGAATGAATTGTTTTCTGCATTACGATTACACAGAAACCTGTTCAGTTAGAGCCCATATCATGGACAGCTTTGCATCTTAGACACAGGCAGAGAAGAGTAAGGAGAGAACTAAAATATTTCTGAAAGTAGTACAAAGAAAGCTTTTCAACTCTCAGATGTCAACAGAATTGTTTAAAGCTGCACTCTTTTAAACAGTAGCTTCTGGATGCATGTGACTTTCTAAATTTAAATGTGATTTAACTAAAATTTGCTTCATTTTCTTCTTTTTTAATGAAAAGAATTTCATGGCATACATTTTTTGGATAGAAGAGAGACACTGGAGATGGTTAGCTAATTAACCCACATCAAGCATGTCAAAAACTCTCCACTTGCATGCCAGTGTCAATCAATTGAAAGGCAGTGCCTGGAGAAGAATTGAGAAAGATTCTGAAATCACACTTTGGCTCTGTGGGAACAATCACTGTGATTGATTAACTTAGGTCTGTGATAGATAGAAGCCTGGAGATTGGCAATATGCATGCCATAAATTTGCTCTTACTTCTAAACAATCCTGGAGCAGCTGTCAAAAATGTTGCCCTACAAATGTTCACCTAGTGACCTAGATTCTCAAGCACCTGTCCAGTCCATGGCATCTTGTATGTTCATCAGATAAAGAGATGTAAGAAGCTACAGATCCAATTCATTTTAATAAGATCTCATCTGGGAAGCTTCCAAATGGGACAGCCTCATGTCCTGTATCTTATTATTTTATTTCAGAACAGGGACTTTATTTATTTATTTTTATTTTTTGCTATGCCACATATTTTAAAGGCACAGTTTTATGAAGGGTTGATCTTTAATTACAATTTCATTGTAGAATAGTGTGTTCAAACTTTCCTGATCACAGCACACTGAGGAGGGGAAGTATACAATTTCTACCTATTTCCACCACACAGTGGAAAAATTTCCTAAGTATTAAATACTTGGAAATAAATATTTATGAGTCACTCATTATTTTAACAAAATAGAAATTTATAAACATGTTCTTATATTATAAAATGATGCCCCATGGACAAAAAAATGAAAGAAATGTTATATACCATGAGAATATGTTACAAAGGTTCACAGGCAATGTATAAACAATGTCACTATACAAGCAAATATTAAGGTGATTGCATATCTGACAATGAGTCACTTAACAACAGAATATGTTCTGAGAAATGTGTCATTAGGTGATTTGATGGTGTGTGTATCATAGAGTGTGCTTACACAAACCTATATGGTGTGGTACTATACACCTAGGCTATATGACATAGTCTCTTGCTCCTAGGCTACAAATCTGTACAGAATTATCCTGAACTGAATACTGTAGGTGATTGTAACACAGTAGTATTTGTGTATCTAAACTTATCTAAACATAGAAAAGGTGCAGTTAAGATACGGTGTTATAATTTTATGGAACTATATCATCCATGATATAAATGACCCATTGTTATATAACACATGACTATTCATGTTTTAGCAATAAGGGTATGAATGAATCTTTTCTGAGTCACAATTCAAGAATGTCTTAAGGTCTAGTCTTCAGCAAATTTAAAATCCAAAATATGCAACATTACAAACTATAGGGTTAACCAAACAGCCAACAGCAAACCTAATTGATAATGATGAAACTAAACCAACACTAATTTATAATTAAAAAACAAGGACACTGCAATTGAAAATCACTAACAACTCAAGACAACACTCATGATACACTGATAACAAATTACCTTTCCCCAAATTGCTTGATTTTGAATTCTTTGCATGTAGAAACTTTGCAATGGTTCCAAAAGCTGGCAGCCAGTTTTCTTAGTAGTATTTTGAATTAAGGAAGCTCAGTAAACCTTAGCTCTATGTCATTTCCAGTAGAATGATAACTTAGTTGGTTTACCAAGTATCCTTTATTCATATATAAAATAAATATACATAAAATTGTAAATCTTTTGTCCAAAAGAACAAAAAAAATCCATGGGTTTCAAAATAGATTTAAAACCCACAGGTGGGCCATAGATTAGATTCTGAGAATTTTAATAAAGTATTAAATTAAGAGTCATATATATGCGTCACTATGCTGTTTGATTCTTCTCTCTGTTTTGTTGCATTTACTGATTACAATTTCTTTTAAATCAGTCTAAAGGCAAATTAATTGATTTTTACCTGAGATTTGAATGAGGCTTCTGATTAGACCAGTGACTTTATCATATAAAAGTTCTCTTTATCAGAGCTCCAGTGATACCATTTAGCTTAGAGACGCAGTGTTTTGGCCTGTTGGGTGTAACTTGGGATAGGACTAAAACATGGCCATAATTTTAAAGCAGGCTAAGTAAGACACATGTGCATAGAACATCCCCTTTATGCCCCACTTCCCTCCCCTCTCTCCTCCCTCTGCTTGCATAAAGATATTTGATAAATTAATTAAGAATCATAAAATGTTAGAGCAGGAGATCATCTTGTCTGAGGTTACACACTGACAGCCTGCAGGTAGGATATAACCTTCAGTCTGTTTTGTTTGGTGCACCTGACATTTAAAAGGAAAGGAAATCACACATAAAATTCCAGGTTTCTGACTAGCCTTAAAATACCAGACGATTTGCTCACATTGAGATCATCTCAGGTGAAGCTGATGATGTGTTATGCCCTCTAGTTGTGCATATGCTCTTGAGATGCCACAGCCTTCAGCATTTCCTGATGTCTGGTCCATCATTTGTGTTACCTGCCTGGTCGGTGAAGGTCCTTGCCTTGCCTACCTATGAAATCATCATAAAGTGTTCAAATAGTTTTAGCGGAACGCTTTTAAATATGCAAAGGAGATATTGCATCTTGCTATATCAAATAGATAAAATCAGTTTCTTAAGCAGATTAAAGTTTACTTCGCAGAGTATACGTCACTGTTTGTGGAACACATGGATCACCCCCTTGGAGCTATGAAAATTATTTATTCTTTCCAACCCTCTCATCTGGAGCCTTGCAGTTTGACAACTTAAGTGAGATCCTGAAGCTCCAACTTCTGACTCCTACTCTGGTGCTCCTTCTTCATTACAATTTGATATTAAAAAGGCTTAATGTGTCATTTTTCCCACAAGTATTGGAAATTTAGAGGATATAAAGTTTTTGCTTGGATAAAGCCTAGTTGATCTTCATCCACAAGACTGGGAAACAAGAAAAATCTTTGTATGTATACAGACTCAGTCAGCTTGGATTTATTCTTGGATGACATGAATGCACCAAGAAAAGAAGTTATAGTAAGGGTGTAGTAAAGGTAATGCAGGTAATTGCATCAGTAGAACAATGGCCACACCTGAAGATGTAGGAGGGCTTCCTCTCATCCAAATTCTGAGTGAGACGTGGTTTGACTCCTTTCCTGCATGAAGGAAGGATCCATTTAGTGAGTAGGTAGATCACTCAATATTTGTATTCATCTTCTGAGAGAAAAATCTCTGTGATAATATCATATCTCTTTTCTTTTTTCTAAGCCTTTATAAAGTCGGGGAAGGAGAAAGAAACAGTGGGCCAAGAGAGTTCCCGAAGTGCTCTGAGGACATTATTTTCGGAGAATTCATTAGTTTATACAAATTATTAACAAAATAGTTCATCTTCTTTTTACCTCAAAGCAAGGAAAAATTGCTTGTCTGGTGTTATTTTCTCTTTGCTACAAAGATGAACAGACTTTTTCTCTTTACACAAAAGCATTTGGAGAGTAAAGGCCTTTCCCTATTAGATAAGTGAAACTTTCTCTTAAGTCCCTAAAAGACCATTCCTATGTTTTCTAAACCCAAAGGAAAAAATTAAAAACACCTCATACCATGACTAAACGTTAGAGATTTAATTTTTACTACATTTTTAAGTATATTCTTAAATTATTTTGATTAATGGAATAGCTGTCAAAAATTGAATAGAGTCAAATATCTACACAAAGATATACACATAGATACATATATATGTTATACTAACAATTTAATGTTTATATCACTTTCCATTTGAGATACCTCCAAATTATACACACACACACACACACACACACACACACACACACCACATGCTTGTACATACATATATACACATATAAACACACCCAAGTAGTAACAACTAAGGGAGAGTTTAAGATTCCACCAGTTGCCTGAGTCCGTGGGTTCAAGACCAGCCCCAGCAACTTGGTGAGACCTCGTCTCTACAATAAATCAAAAATTAGCCGGGAGCAGTAGCACATGCCTGTAGTTTCAGCTACTTGGAAGACTGAGGCGGAAGGATCGCTGGAGCCCAGCAGGTCAACGCTGGGGTGGCTGTGAGTGTGCTACTGCACTCCAACCTGGGCTACAGAGTGAGACTCCAACTCAAAAAAAAAAAGATTCCACCAGAACCTTTATTCCTTCTTTCCTTAATAACTGAACAGGTGTACTGTGAGCACCCACTATTTGTCAAGTACTGTAGTAGAAGTGAGAAATGTAAAAAAATTAATAACCCAAGATTCTAGAATTATCTCAGCCCACACTTCTCAGAGCATGTGATATAAATAGGCACTATACATGCTGCCCAAATAAAGAGTGTTTGGCAAATTTTAGTTGAACAAAAATCAGATTTCTTACCTGGAAAACTTTCCAAAACTTTCATACACTTACAAACACTACAAATCTCGAAGAGGAGAACATACCAAACAGTGAGTGCTTCCCCAAGGTGTAATCATCAACCATCAACACTTTTTTCCCAGGGAGCATCTTGCAAGGGGCAGCGCTTTATGAAATATATTTTTGAGAAATGCTGGCCCAGACATTTTATTGTATTAAGGCCCTTAGAAGAAAAGGGGCTTCATGGTATTTTCTTACTTATTCTCCCTTCTTTTTCTGAAGATAAAAACATGGCTTGATATATTTCTAATTTTACCATTAAAACTCTCTCATTACTAATATTTTAAGCTTCTTATTAAAAAGCAATATATGCTCATTTCAAAAATAAAAAATGACAGAAAGGTAAAAGTTTAAGTTATTCCAGTCCTCTCACCAGGCTTAACTATCACTGAAGAGGGATGTTTATATCTTTTTTGACATTTTTTATGCATGTACAAATACGATTTTTTTCTCCTGAATTATTTTGAAGCATAGTATTCTATTTCTTATTTTCGTCACTCAGCAATGTATCATGGGCATTTTTCCACATGTACACAAATCGCATTCTTTTGTAATGGCTACATCAAATCGCGTTGTGTGACTGTACTTTGATTTATGTTAACAATCCTCTCTCGATAGAGATGAAATTCCTCTCCTATTTCTTGCCATTAAAGTCATTGTTGTGATGACTATACCATAACATACATCTTTTCACTTTTGTCCAATCATTTTCTTAGTATAAATGCCTAGAAATGGACTTCTTGTTTCAAGATTTGCACATTTTACATTTTGGGAGATACTGTCAAATTGTTAACAAAAATGGTATACCAATTTATACAGTTAAGATGTGAGGTTTTTACACAGAGTTTAAAAATCAAAGAGTTTTTTAAAGCAGTTCAAATTGTCATCTTGCCTGAACTTTAAGAAATTAACAATTAAAGCTAATGATTTGCGCCATTTCTAAATGTTTTTGTTTGCAGTATGGTATAACATCCATTATCCTTAACTAGGAGTTAAAGTCATAGACTTGAGCTCACATAAGTAACTGGTTTTTTTTTTACATGGTTGTAATAATTCTCTTATAAGTTCCTGAGATCAATAGGAAATATTTATTTGTCTCTCTCCTTGTTTTTGATATTATGGGGTTTTATCAAATGTCTGTAGCTGCACCCTGACTCTGGGATGAGGTCAATATCATCAATCAGATGATCAATGAATTATCACTAGCACTAGCTTACACCAAATAACAACCTGTCTGCTCCAATCCTCAGGCCAATTCACTACACTTAGCAACCTAGCAATGGTACGCATTCTTTAAAAGCCAATATGCAACCATGGTTGATCTCACAATTTCTTTTATATTACAGTTATAAAACAACCCTTTATTGTAACATATCTTGGTATTCCAGTGCATATTCTTTAAGTACTTTTGATAAAGTAATATTGAATAGTAAGATAAAAGTAATTACAAGCCATACAAGAATGTTTTTTAATGTTTTAACAAAAATACCACACTTTAAAATGGATGGTGATCTTCAGTATGTAATAATCATGTCACAAATGAATACCTCTAACATACACAGTTTGCTTAATATAGCTTTAAATCAGGTCAAGTATAAATTACATAGACAACTCAGAGTAATCTTTTTATATATCATTTCCATACACCTTGTCGATAAAATAGCAGTGACTCAAGAATAAATGATTCATTAGGCACTTAAAACTTCCTGTCTCATGTAATTTATTATATAATTTTAAATTACTAAAGAATCTCAACGATCTTTTCTTGCTAAAGAATTTGATAGGATCCATATTTTATTAAGTTTCAAGGACATCCCCCCCACCCCCCACACACACACTCAAAATTAAGTAACCATGAAAATTGCTGTCATAATTCATATATCCATAGGGGAAACATTAATTTTAAATTAGAAAGTTACATTTAGCAAAAACCATTCATCTTTTTATCACCTGTTACACAACAAAAACTGGTGATTATAAAGAGTGGAAGCTATTTTAATTACCTGAAACAACACCTTTTGAGTTTTCATTGTTTAGTCTGTCTTTTTTAAATTAAATTTTCACCCTATAGCTTTAATATAAAAAAATTAAAAGGAGTCACAAGTAATCCTCAAATTGTTATGGTAACTTCCTACATCATTCCCAAAATAAAAACTTGATGTAGTCAAATATTAAATTATTGAAATTATGAATCTGTTCATCTATAGCACATTTTACTCATTTGTGTAATTTTAAAATTCACTTTCATTTGATTGACTGTTTTAATCTTCCTTAACTAGTGAGTAACTGAAAATAAATGGTGCATTCCTAATACTGTAAATATGAAAAATAGGAAGTACTTAGGGACTGCAGGCGAATACATTAAAATCAGTCAGTTTTCTAGTTAACATATTCTCATTCTGTTTGTGTACAAACCCACTGCATTGAGAAGACAGATCACAAATTCACAGCCTCACAAAAACATGGTCTCGATTTCATGTTATGACAGCAGAAATTGGCCCAAATCTCTAACCATTTCCCCTAAAGGACCCTGGCTGGCTGGTGCTATCCAGGTACAGCAATCTGAGCGAGGGGAGCATCGCGTCAAATTCCACTCATCTGTCAGTGTAGTGGATTATTTCTTGAGAGACTGAAATTGGCTGTTTGCGATCTGAACACCATCAATCTTGCTGTACAGGGGACATCCAAACTGCCTGTAAGAGGCTGCGGAGCAAGGAGTGGGGGGCAGGAGGGAAAGCCATTCCTAAGCAGGTGAGGAGGCAGCTGTAAAGCCTTTACTCTCCCTCCATTCAAGGCTCTGAGTGAAAGATTTGTCATTTTCCACATTTCCGGGATACTTGGTATGCACACAGAGTATGCCTGCTCTTGCTTTATGAAAGAGGTGATTTTTCAAGCTTAGGCAAATGTGGCAAAGCTCAGGGTCTGCTGGTGTCTCATTTTTTCTCATCATGTCACTTGTTTTAACCGATTTGAGAAAATGAGATTATGTTTTTCCTTTTTCCTCATTTATCCATCTATTTATTTATTTATTTGCTCATTTAGAGGTGGATTGTCACAGATAACTGGCCCTGATTTCTCTCATGTTTTCATACACATTTCATTAGTGTCCCTGAAGATTTAAGACCCCAAAATGGAAACATCACAACTCTTATATATATATAAAGCATATTTATATATATATAAAGCATATTTTTGCTTTTAAAATCAAAACAGAAGATTGTATTAGGAGTTTGGAATAATCTAGAATATTGCTATGACCAAGATCTATCACTTTAATCTTTGCAGCTATTGTTGAAACCCAAGGAAGTTGAATAAATGTATTATGTAGAACCATTGGACTTTAAGTTTAATATCATTTTAATTTTTCTGCATCTAGAAAGTGGTATTTATAGTTTCTTTATTTCAACAATGAAGCTGAAATGGGTCTCAAATGTATAAGCACTTGGGGTTGAAATGGGTTTCCGTGCTGCAGTGTCTTGGGGTATTTGATGCACAGATCAACCATGCATTGGCTGATAATAAGCAAATCCTAAGGTAGACAATGGAGAAAACAAATATTGAGTTTAATTTCTAACATGTTTCTTGGTTTTAAAATAAAATACGATATTTTGATAATAAGCCCTATAAAGGTATGAGTTTACTTATTACAATAGCCTCCATCCAAAAAATCCCTTTATAGTAACTGATTAATGAGACAATCTTTGTGACAGCTTGTTGCAAACTACTGTATCTATTTCATGATTATATGCATAGAGTGTAAAATAAGACACACATCTTTAATGGTATATTCTAGCCATGTACCACATGGTTTAAAAAAACAGTAAGAGAAAAGCAGAGTTTTTTATCTTGGCTATGTGGATTATTAGCTTTGTAAATAGCAAAACTTCACTCATTCAACATCCCTGGCTTGCAGGTTTAATCTATTAAGCGGGGATGTCAGTTATTCCTGATAGTTATGAAGAACTTTACAGTTTACAAAAGACTTACTCAGAAATTATTATTTTATTTACATCCCACCATATCCGTGGCTGAGGAACTGGGCTGAGAGAAAAGTCGCTTGCCTAAGGGCACGTCAAAAACCATAAGTGACAAGAGATGGTGGCCAGTCCTGAGCTCTGCCTCCGCCCCCCCCCCCCCCCCCCCCCCCCCCC